AACGTAGTTTTTTAATGAACATCTGAATACTCACCACCTAGATGTTACTATTAACATGTTACTGCCGTGGCTTTAGGTCCTTGGGTGGTGCAAGTGGTCCTCATTGATGTTGTTTGGGTTGCTTTTCCAGTATGAATTTCAGAGGCCAGAAATCGCTCTTCAGTATGCTAGCTAAGGGCAATGGCTGTTATACAGCTCTTTGTAACTCTGATTTTGTGGGGGATAAAGGCTTTTTGTTCTGAAATCCCGTGGGTGCAGAGTCTCAGCTTTGCCATCGTCATTAGCGTGTGGTGCGTAGGAGAGCAATGGGGACTGTGCTGGCCGGAGATCCCACCTGAGCCCTGCCTGGAGGAGGCCACTGTCTTCCTGGCGCTTCATGCCTGGGTCTGGAGGGGCATAAGTTGTTTCTGACAACACATACAACCGGATTCCTGGGCTGGGATTCAGGCTGAGTTGAGTGAGTGAAGCTAAGGACTCGATGTTTATAGCAGGGTTCTTGTATAACAGGGGTCAGCAAACTTTTTCTGTAGGGGCTCAGACAGTAAATACTTTAGGTTTTGCAGGACATATGGTTGTACAGGAGCCATGATGGTGAAGTGGTTAAGAGCTCAGGTTGCTAATGAAAAGGTCAGCAGTTTGAATCTACCAGCTGCTCCTTGGAAACCCTGTGGAGCAGTTCTACTCTGTCGTGTAGGGTTGCTATAAGCCAGAATCAACTTGATGGCAATGAGTTTGATTTTTTTGGAGGTATGGTTGTTCAGCAAAAGCAGCTGTGGACAATATGTACACAAATGAGTGTGGTTGTGTTCCAATAAAACTTTATGGACCCTGAAATTTGAATTTCATATAATTTTCATGTGTCACAAAATAGTATTCTTCTTTTGATTATTTTCTAATCATTTAAAAATGTAAAAAAAAAAACTTACCACAATGACCCAAAAAATATATATTAAAAATATTATAATGGTTTAGGCAGGAAAAAAAAATTCAGCTAACTACAAAGGAACCCACTCTTTAAAACACTAAACACTAAAAGATAATGGAGCAGCAAATGCATTATGCTAAGTGAAAAAAGCCATACTGATACTCAAAAAGCTGTATAATGTATGATTCCACTTACCTGGCATTCCAGAATCGGCAAAACCATAGGACAGAAAATTGATTAGTGATTGCCAGGAGGTAGGGGTGAGGAGAGGCGTTTACCACAAAGCGGCATTTAGGGAATTTGGGGGGCAATTAAACTTTCTGTACTGTTCTGTATCTTGATTGTGGTGATGATTATGCAATTGTATGTGTTTGTCAAAACTCACAGAACTGCACATTAAAAGGGGTAAATTATCCCTTAATTTAAAAAGAGAAAATATTTTTTAAAACTAATGGAGTGATATCTACAGTTTGGAAGGGAAAGAGTGTGATTTTTTTTTTTTTTTAAATATTCACCAAAGTTACCTCCCTTCTAAGGGCAAAAGACACAGATTCCCAAAAATGCATAAGCTCAGAAAACAATACCCCTCAAGAAAGCTTCCTTTTAAAAATGAAGTAAAACGTGGTAGACTCATCTATGGAGCCCTATGCACTGGTTAGAAGCAAGGGCTCGATGTTTACAGAGCAACACGGATGGATCTTTAAAACATAGTGCTGAGTGAAAAACTGAGAATGTGCTTGTCATGTAATGCCACTTAGAGAAACTAAAGATGCCTGTATACAAACCAACAATACTCATAAGAACCATACCCAAAAAAAAGATTTTTAAAAAGCAACAACAACAAAAGGCATTATACAAATCAAAAGACACACATGAAACACATTAGGATGGTTGCCGTCGGGAGAGAGAAGTAAAGAATGATAATAAAAGGCAACAAATAAATAGACACACAAGAGGGGTCAGGCAGAGACCAATGAGGACAGGGTGCCACAAGCCAAGGATATGAATCATTGATACCACTATGATCCATCTCTTCTTGCTGCAAGTGAAGAGGACTTGAAGCACTTACTGATGAAGATCAAAGACCACCATCTTTAGTATGGATTACACCTCAACATAAAGAAAACAAAAATCCTCGCAACTGCACCAATAAGCAACATCATGATAAACGGAGAAAAGATTGAAGTTGTCAAGGATTTCATTTTACTTGGATCCACAATCAACACCCATGGAAGCAGCAGTC